CCTGGTTCTCTGTCCCCCCATCCCCAATCACTCGGTTAGCCAGCCCAGCCCCACTGATCCTTGCTCCCTTTCCTCACCCTCCTCCCCACTTCTTCTTGGGAACAGCCACTTGTCTTCAGCTTATAGATCTCCTCTGTGAAGCCCTTCCTGATCCCCACCATGTGACCTTGTGCTCCCAGCCCTGCACAGATGGGAGTGGGGAGGGGACACAGCACGGAGCCACTCTGAGGCCTGGGGTTCCTTTACAGAGCTGCCTCCTTCCTCAGACTATAAATCCCCGGAGCTCAGGGCTCACTTCGCACACCTCCTAGGGTAGGAAGATGCTCTAATAGGAGCCCAGAGAAGCGGGGCGAGGGGAGGCAAGGCTGGCTGAGGACAAGCCTCACAGATGGCATGTGCTTTGGAGAACTGCCCCACTCCAGGCTGGGGGAGGCTGGCCCACAGTATGTGAGCAGGCAGAACTTGAGAGCCAATGTGTGAACTCACATGGAAGAACACAGCAGCTAGTTGGAAGAGGTGGTAAGCGTGGCCTGACCAGAGTTTGCCCTCCTTACAGCCCAGCCAGGGAAGCCACATTCATTACCTGGATTGCTTGGCAACAGTGGACTCTGGATAGGACAGTGACTGATGGAACTAGAGCATGTGGTGGCATCAGCTGACAGCTGCCTCAGTAGCTCTTCAGTGGCTGGGGACCAGGTGGGCAGGCCAGGTGACTCCTCTGGGGCATGGAGGCCAGCTACTCCCTCAGCACTGCCACAAGACGTATGGCCTCCAGTCTCTAACTCCAGCTGCCCTAACAAACACCTTGTGTCCTCAAGACAAACTAATACCTTCAGGCTGACACATAGGGCCTCACACACCTGGGAGCCTTAGGTCTCCTTAAGATGACTGCAGTCTGATTTCATAATTTATTTTTCTTATTTGCTGCCAAGGACCACCCACACCTGAGTAGGTGATTAATAAGTGGTTGCTTATAGGTTTGTTTTTCAGAGTCATATGTAGGTTTGTTTTTCACAATTCTGAAACTACTTTCTGGGTATTCTAACACTAAGAAAGTAGGTCACTTGGAGTCAGATTTCTCATTGGAGAAAGAAGTTCCAAATGTGGAAAGGGAGAAGGTTAGAATAAACCCTATGGTTCTAGGTTGAAATTGGAGGTATCAGTATGAACTCATTTTTAATACAGAGATAGAAACACATAGAGATATACTGTTGGTTTTTTGTTTTTTTTTCCCCCTTAGATCTGACCATCCCAGTAGCAATGTAATAGAAGGGTATCCCAGTAACAAGGAACACACCTAACACCCAGATCCTGGTTTCTGAATATCAGACTCCACCAAAAGGAACAAGGGCTCCTTGGAGAAATGGCCTATTCCAAGGCTGGTACAGCGAAGATACAAGATGAATCTGGAATATCTCATTACAGAAAAGAAGTAAGGGCCCAGATTATGATGGGGATATGGCCCAAGAAGACAGAAGCCAATTTGAAGAGGTTCCCAAGGCCAAATCTAAAATAATTTGAGTGCCAAAATAATGGTAGTAACCAACCATAACTCATGGAATAAAATAAGAGTCTGAGTCTATGATGACATGAATAATAGACAGTAAGGGAAAACTCAGAGTTGAAGGACTGCATATAAATGTAGGGAGAATTGGAAACATCATCGGCAGATGAAGATCATCCATGGATCTAGTGGTTAAGTCTGACAAGACAAGAAACAAGCTATTTGTATAGTCTCACAGGATCAACCCAGAAAACATTAATTATACACAACAAAATAGTCTACAGTGGATAAACCTGGGCAGACACTTTGACCAATGGATTTAAGTCATCACCAGTAACGAACCAACAGGCACCTCGAGGCTCCCGATGTGCACTGGGAAGGACACATCATCACTTTTCTGGGCATTCCCACCAAAAATGCATGACCCGAATCTAAGCCCAAGAAAGCAGCAGTCCGCCAAAGGTAGATTCATGTTCTACAAAATAACTGACCTGGCCTCTTCATAAATGTTAAGGGCATGAAAGACAGACTGAGGATTCATTCAGGTTAAGGAGGCCAAAGAGGCATGGCAACAAATGCAGTGTGTGGCTGGACTGAGTCCTGGACCAGAAAACAGTGGTCTTCTTTTGCTATAAAGGTCACTGTTGGGATAATTGGAAAAATGTAATAAGGTCTGCAGATCAAGTAAAAACAGTGGTATACCAACGTTAGTTTCCTGATTTTGATCACTGTATTGTGGTTATGTAAGAGAATCCCTGGTTTTTTAGGAAACAGACACTAAAATCTTTAGAAGTAAATGCATATCATATTTGCAATCTTCAAACAGTTTATACACATCGATACAGACAAGGAGAGAATGAGAAGATAAGATTAACTGGTAAAATGTTACTATTTGGGGAAACTAGGTGAAATGGATGGAAATTTTTTGTACTGCTTTTGCAGCTTTTCTGAAAGTCTGAAATTATTTCAAAACCAAAGTTTAAAAGTAGAATAAATGTTTGCTGGATAAGGCATGAGGAATTATGTAGCATAGTGTGGGGAATTAGTAGCCATTTAGGGTGTGGTGGTCATTATTTGAGAAGTGGGTACCTTGCAGGAGCCATGAGTTGCCCCTTAACTAGATTGTTCTTGGCCAGAGCTTTTCAAACATTCCTGTGCATGAGAATCACCTGGCAAACTTGTTCAGTGGAGGCTCAGGTGCAGGTCTGGGGGGATGGGTAGAGATTCTGCATTTCTAACATGGTCCGGGGGCCACTGATGCTGCTTTTCTGCTGGCCCGGGTGTCACCCTTTGGGTCACAAGGGGGCATAGACAGGTGGGATGTCGACCACAAATTCTGCAGCCTGGCTGCCCGGTAGGACCCTGAAGAACCAGCTTTAATTGATCCTCCCAGGTGATCCTAATGTGCAGCCAGTATTAAACCTTTACAACCTTCCCTGTCTCCTTCCCGTCATCTCAAATTCAGACCCTAAGTCTGAATAGTACCCTAGCTTCCAGAGCTACACTCGCCGCTGCTGCTGTACTCCCATCACACACTCAGAAGCTGGAAGGGTCTTTCTGATCCTCCACGGTTTAAATGTTTGTGTGCAGGTTACGCACAAACTCCTCACAGGCACAAAGCCCTCTGCGATGTGCCCACAACCTACTTTTCCTAGCTGCTCTCCAGGGCTCCCCCCTTGATGCTCTTCTCCCAGAGGCTCATGTCACCGTCTTGCAGCTCAGGCTCCACCTTCACGTATTTGCATTTGTAACCACACACACAGCATTTGTCTCAGGTCTCTGGCCCCCAATCCCCGTCCCAGGTTAAGAGCCACCGCTTAGTTCCTTCCTCCATGGGAGCCTGTGCTTCAGAAGTCACCGATTTCCCCTCTGGCTGGACCCACCTTGGGGCTCATTTTTCTCCGTGGGAGAGAGCTGGTGGCTCAGACCGGCTCCCCTCACTCAGAACAGGGGAGCAAGCATCTCTGCAGCTGAGATACAGGTGACCCTGTTCCTGTTCACATAGGACGGGGCTCAGCAGCTGCTGTACCTGGGGAAGGGCAGAGCAGGGACAACCTGGGTGTTGGCCGGGAGTTCCAACCTGGCACCCAACTCCCCATCCCCTGTCCACCTCCCTACCCTCCCACGGCTCACCCTCCCTCCTTCAGCCCCGCATGTGCCTTGGATCTGAAGGACCTGAAGGAAAATAGGTCACAGGGAGGTGCCCCCTGGGTTGTCCCCTAGAGGGGAGGGCTTGGCCTAGGAGAGAAGCCACATTTGTTAGGAGCTGAAAACCAAACTTGAGAAAGGGACCTGGGAGGCACAAGGAGACCATCCCCTTCCCCAGTCCTCCTACCTCCTTCTGGAGTTCTCCCACCTCCACAGCCAGGCCTCTCACAGGGCACCCCCTCTCCAGGCCTCACTTCACCGGAAAAAGACTTCCTTCTGATCCAGCACCGCCCACCGCCTCACGTGCCCTGAGCCTGGAGCCAATTCCTTTTAATACGCTTGGCTGCGCAGGGATGGGCTGCAGTAATCATGAGGATTAGGGCTGCACCTGGGCCTCAGTTTCCAGGAGAATCACAGCTGGACTCTGAGAAGGAAGCAAGCACCCCTGGCTCAGAGCAGCTTCAGGAGGGCCAGGGTCAAGTCCCCAGGGGCTTCTGAGAAAAAAAGACTCATCCCTGCCTCTGGCTCCTGCTTAGCTATTTGTCTCTCCCCTGGGGACGGATGTCTGGGTGGAAACTTCCAGGAGACGCTCATCCCACCCTCATGAAGGGAAGATGGCCTTCATCTTCAACAGCTCTTGACGCTTTGCACCCTTGGTCTCCCTGCAGATCTTTTCGCCTGGGTGTTTCCAAATTTCCAACCCTACTGAGTTCCAAAGAGAGAGGCAGAAACCTGGGAGCAGATATGAGGTAGAGCCCTAAAAGAGATGAACAGCCCGTTCCCAGATCTAGGAATGTCCTCCCCACTTCATCCCATCTCTCTCGTTTCGGGCCCCAAGTCCCTCCAGGAAGGAGCCGTCCTCCTGATGCCAGAGCCCCCACTGCTACCTGCTTCTCTGTCCTCCAGACTCCCTTGGGCTGCCCCGTGCAGGTCAACACTTGTCCCCTCACCTTTCTGCCTCCAAGGCCGCCTCTGTTTCCCCGGTGGCTGTAAGAACTATTTGCCAGGCAGGTACTTGCCCACTTGTTTACAATAACCATAATCTTCCTATCTCCAATCAGCACCTCACAAATAACTTTAGGGTCACTCTTGGGGATAAGAGGCAATTTGGATGCAAACATATTGGAGTTTGAAATAATTAGAGGAATTATGGAAGAAATAAGTAAAAATTTTTGAAACTGAGGCTATCTTAGAAAATCCAAAACATATATACAGTCACTGTGTATATATTCTCTTACATCTCCAGGCTAGTCACTCACTGACTAGATCTTCCTTCTCTTTGACATTTTCTCCCTGTTGTACCCAGCCTCTCACATCCATTCCATTCATCCCCAGTCAACACATTATGTGGTTTTTCCATGAGTCAATTTTTATTGGTTTTTGAAGTAATGAATTATTGGCATAAGGCTCGATGGGTTTCAAAGCAATGACAGAAGGAAACTACATCATACAGGTAGGTGGGAAGACCCAACAGGAAAGAATCCCAGAGTAGCTGTGACCCTCATCCGCAAGCGCTGGGTCTTGCCTGTGAGGATCTTGCAGCCAGGACCCAGCCCAGCTGAAATAAACTGCATGCACCTCAAGATGACTGAGCCATAACTCAGGGGATCGATCTGACGGGGTGCCCCAGTTCTCTCTCCAAGACAATCACTTCTAGCCTTCTTGGAACCTTCTTCCAGCCTTAAATCTTTGGCAGCAATAACCGCTTGACCACCACGAGGACTCTCCCTCCCACTGAGATGGCCAGCCTGTTCTCCCTCACCTGTGCCTTTTCAGATAGAAGCCTCCCCCACCAGCGGCAGTTTAAGGCCCCTGCAGAAAGAGGAGGAGGCAAAACCCAGAGGGCTGGCAAAACCCAGTGACCCCAGTGAGGATATCTGCCCTTCCCCTCCATTGTGGTGGGTCTTCCAACCAATGTTTGGGGGGTAAAGAAAAGGGGGCTTCTCAGTAGGAGAGCTGCTGTCCCCCCTCCCCTGAGGAGGGCTCCTCCTCTATGAGCTCCAGGTCGAACTCATCTTCCAGGGACCCTCCAACAGGCAGGAGCCGGAACTTCTTCCCCTTCAGGGTGCACGTGCGATGCTCGAAGTCCAGGACGGCATTGTGGTCCTGGAGCACATCGGTACCAATGATGGCTTCTTCGGCACTTGCATTGGCCACTAGGAACTCTGCCTTCAGCTTCAGCTTGCCCAGGGACACCACTGTATCCCAAATGCCCAGGATCTTCATTTCAGCCCCATTGGCCACTTTTACCACATTCTCAAAGGGCCGCAGAGTGTCCAAGTCACCATCTGTGACCTCCTCCCACAAGTTGGGGTGGACCACAGAGACCTGGGCCCCCGAGTCCACCAGGAACCTCACGGGCACTTTGCCAATTTTCCCCTTGAGGTAGTAGCCCTTACCCATGCTGTTGGCAAAGACGATCTCCTTAGGCAGGTGGCTGTGGGTGGCCTCGGGCCCCCCGAAGGCCTTCAGGAGGGTCTCTTTCACAGCCCCATAGTCTTCCTGGTCCTTGGGGCTGAGTCCACTGTAGACCTCCAGGGCATCTCCCCTGAGGGACTCTTTCAGGAACCTTAGTTTGGTGACATGGTCCCAATGGTTGAGGTCATTGATGGCCTCGAAGCGGTGCAGCCAGAGGTGTGGGGCTACGTTGGCTCCATCAAAGGGCTCCGGGATGAAGGCATGCTCCTGACGGCCCTCCCGGCTCCTGGCTCCACTCTCAGCCATCCCTCTGCCCTCCTCTGGAACTGCAGCAGCAACCCACACCAAGTAGAGAAAACCACAGAGCAGTGTCGGCGCAATCACGCTGGAGAACAAGGCCTCTCTAAGCAGAGTGTTGTTTGGTGCCCGTCTGGGGCAGGCAGAAGGGACCGGCGCAAGCTGGCTGACTGACTGCTGGACACAGAGGCAGGCAGCTGCAATAGCCTGCTCACTCTGCAGAGGCTTTTTGATGCCTAGCCTGGGCCCCCAGGGCTCCCCATTCTCCTTTGTTCTGGAAGCCCCGCCCTTGCTCATCCCCGCCCTCCTGCCAGCATCCTGCCCAACGAGCAGGATCAGTGCCTCACCCTTCTGCATCCATCCTGGGACTGGTACAGGGCAGCCCACGGTGCAAGAAAGTCCATCCTCAGTCAGAGGGGACCTACTCAGGTACCCTCCCCAGCCTGTGTCCCAGAATATACAGATGAGGACACGGAGTATGTTATGACATCCAGGTATCTGTCCTCAGCTGGAGAGGGAAGAAGGAGGGGAGGCAGCGACCAAAGGCCCATCAGCTTCTAGGCTGAGGAAGCCCCTTTTCCCTCAACCCCAAGTGACCACTTTGAATGGCTAAAGAAAAGGCACATGCATTCACTAGGCTCCTACTTTGTGCACAGCACGGGGTGGGTAGGTGTTTTTCCTACATTCTAAACCAAGCTTGGAATCCCATAAAATTCTCCAGAGAGGCAGAGAGAGGACAGTCCCAGAATCAACAATGCACAGAGATTGTTTTTTAAATGAGGGGACACACACACAAGCATTTGCCATGAACTCAACTGCTACAGTCATTTTCCCTCATTCATCACATCCGATCCAGAGTCAGCACTTTGTGGGGGACCAGACCTCAGCCAGAGCAACCTTGTTAAGGCCCTAAAGTGGGTTGGTGCCAACCCTGAACTTCTGGGAGGGTACACCGGGATCCAGATGGGCTCCAGTTCTGGGCAGACCCCATCCTCTATGCCACTAGTATTGTCTCCTCCCCTCCTGTTCCCTCTCACCTTCCAGGAACTTTCTAAGAGAGCCCCTTCCCCAAGTGCTACAGCCCTCCTTCTCCCCCCTCACCTGCTCATTCATGGAAAGAGCAGCCAGAGAATCTCACTCCCTTATGTTCTGAGAAGGGGAAATGTCCACCATGTTGGCAAAGCCAGTGGTGAGGTTCTGGAAGGCTTTGGATGGAGGAAGTTGGCTGTGTGATCTCTTGCTGAGGAGGGCAGGCTGCCTTGGGCCACCCCAGGGATTCCCAGAAGGCAGATCTGTGAGTCCTAGGGTTGGGGCCAGTCTGTGCAGAGAGACTGGGGCTATGGAAGTGGGGGGGAGGACCCACTTTCATGACCCCATTCAAATGGTCAAGGGGTCAAATGAGCCCTCCATGGAGTCTTCTACTCTGCCTCTCACATGTGTGCCCACTCCCGGCCAAGCATGTGTTGCCGTGCGGTGTGCTGGGTCATTCGTAACTCTGTCTCCTGCAATGACGTGGAGTGTGACGTTCACAGAAACCAGACACATATGACCATCTCCATCCCCCATAGAAATTTACTCTCAGGTCAGCAGGTGTTCCCTGCTGGTCTCCAGGCCTGGCTGAGTGCTGTCACCAAACAGGAGGGATTAAGACAGGAAAGGAGCAGGAAAAGCAGAACACCTGTAGCTCTGGGCTGTTTTTCCTGGCCCAGAGCCTGTTTCTCATCGGCTCCCTGTACCATTCATCACCCAGTGTCTGGCTGACTCCCAGAGGACCCTGGCCCCAGTCCTGCCTCTGGACAGTCCCAGGGTCCCTGGCCATACAGAAAGATATGGCCCTGCTGCTCTCTCAGCCCCTTCCACCTGACACAGTGAGCTAGCAGAGAGGCAGCTGGGTCAACACCTCTCATCACAGCTGCCTGGCTAAGTAAGGTGGGGCCCTTGTACCATTCCAGAAGCCCAGAGGAGGGAGAGATGGAGTCACTGGGAAGGAGTCAAGTACAGGTGGGTCTCTGAGAAGATTGCACAATGAAAAACCTGCACCCAGAGAAATGGCCTGGCCACAATACCAGGAAGCCCCTTCTACAAGTGGACTTTTGTGGATAGATTCCCAACCCCTGGGATGGGTGTTGTGTTGTTCTGTGGTTCAGGGAACTGACCTAGTGGCTTCCTGGCTACCTGGTGTTCATCACCCTGCACACCTGGTCTCCTGGAAGTGGGAGTGTGTGTGAGGCAGCTGCATGTGACTGCGGGAGGGGAGAGGCAGGGTGGCTTGTCAGATGGCAAACTGCTAGATGCCCCAAACTAGGGCTTGTCAAACCATTGTGGTTGGCATGGAGTCAGACTTCCCCACTGCTCCAGATTAGAAATAGGTAGTCCCTGGGCCTTGGGCTGTGGCACTTCACTTGACTAGGTTTGCTGTTCACTTTGGCAAAGTCATTTCACATCCATCACCTCAGCAGCATCATGGTAAGCCGCAAGGCTGACCAGCCAGCCTTCCCCCAGGACTGAAGCACAAGGAGCATGAAGGGCTAAATGGCCTGTCTCAAGCCTGGGCTCATGCACTGTCCAGTGCGTGCATAACATTTTGCAATACAGCCAGGGAAGTGGGAGTCTGGGCTCAGAGAGGCATGCGGATGGGTCCTGGGGGCTTGTGTTGTTGACGGCCTCTGGTGGGGACAGTGAGCTAATGGGAAGTGAGAGCTGGCTGTTAAATATTCAAGAATTCTGTAAGTCAGTTGTTAAACCAGTGGCAGCTTGAAATTGGACTTAGTGGGAGTATTTACACCACAGACATTGGAAGATTCTTAACAAGGGCTTTTTTTTTTTTTTTTTTTTTTCCTGGAAAGCCAGCTGGTCATCACACCCCTGCATGGGGGCCTTTGTCACTCCCTCTCTCTGGGGCAGGTCAAACCCCATGGCCAGTGATTAACAACTTTATCGAAATCTCTACTCCTGCTCAATCTCTTGGGCGGGAATCCCCTTTCTTGCCTACCTTGCCCTGTACACTTGCCCAAACAACCTTTACACTCCTGGGTCCTTTGGCTTAAGGCCATTGGCCTTCCTCAGGGAGGCCCTCCAGGCATTCTGTTCACACAGTCCCATCTGGAATCCCCAGGACAGAAGACCACAGGAGTCTCATGGTTACTAGGGGAGCTGGAAGGGCTTGAGTTTAGGGACCGGTCTCTGGCTAGGATCAGGAACATGGTGAAGTAACTTCTCAAATTCCCTTAACCCTTGGGAGAAACCATACCTGGAATATCCCCAGGTATGAGTGGAATACCCCACTCAAGGACCTTGGAATTGCTATACTAATGCTACAATGATGAGTTAAACCAGCTGGGGCAGGCCAGGTGCCATTGCCTCCTCCCAGAACCTAGGAAATCATCGCTAATTATTGACAAGTATAGGTATTGGGGCGGGAACACCCTCTTTATTATCCATTAGCATCTCCTGAGTGTGCTCTGAAGCAGGCACACCATACTTAACTGGAGAGGAGGTAAATCAGGGCAATAAACAGGAAGGACTTAAGGAGTCCCCACCCTCCACACCCCCTCACTGAGAATTCGGGGCTGTGAGCTCTGCTGCCCCAGTGCTGCCCCAGCAGAAGCTGATCCCCTTTGCCATCTCTTCCCCACAGGTAGTTGTGCTATGTGGCACAAGATCAGTAGAGGGCCCATCAGGGCTCCCAGGAACTGAAGCCGTTGGTGGGCAGTGGGGGGTCTTGGAGGGGGCGTGCACATCCCCAGGAGACTATTTTTAGCGAGAAGCAGAGAGACACCTGATGGTACCCGTGATGAGGTCCAGACTGAAATGTAAGGAGGATCAGGAGATGCGCAGGCCACCTGCTATAGCTCCTCTCTGGGCTGCCTCTGGCTAGCACCATACACTCCCCAAATCACCCCAGGAACTAGATGGGGAAAGAGCAAAGGGATTCAAGGGCTTACCAAGGTAGTAAAGGAAGGCTGAGGGGAGAAAGGAGGTGCACACTCTCTAGCCAAGGATCGTGGGTGTTCAACCTACAAAGTCACATGGGGCTCCGCGCTCAGAAAGGCCAAGCTCGGTTTGACGTGCTGCTGCAGCTGTCTTGAAATTCCCAGTAATTTTGAACAAGGGGCCCTATGCTTTCATTCTGCACCAGATCTTGTAAACTATGTAGCTGGTTTTTTCTCCAACTGATCTGACGGAGACTTCTTTTACATACACACACACTCACACACACACACACACACGACACAAACATATACATACACACACATACCCCTTACCTCACACCACACATATATAGGCTATCCACAAAAAAACACTCCCTGCACCCTGTACACACATTCTGTAGTCCAAAACCTATACCATCCATACACAGTCACACTACAGTTCTTATTTCAAAACAGCTAAGAAATTGTGCAACTTGCATATAGAATTCAGCTCCCACCTTTCATTTCACAGATGTATTTGCACACACATTTACACTGAGTATTAAAATCATATTTATTAGAGGCATCTGCTGTTTATTAGCCTCTGGGCACACTTGTTAGCTCAGAGAACTAGACAGGTCCCCATCACCATGGCTTACAAGCTAATGAAAACAGGATACAGATGTTTAACAGCCCCTTTTGAAGAGTTTAAGACTGACATGTATATGCAGACTGACCATGTGAAGCAGTCCCAGTCACAGCCATGCCACTCTGAAAGTGGGTCATCCTGCCCTCTGCCTCCCCCTGACTGTGTGAGGCCAAGGACATGATGTCCTCCCTTCTTCCTCTCGCTGGGTACTCACCACCATGAGCTGGGCCCCGACTGCCTGCCCCACTCCTGCACAACCCCCCCAGCCTAGGCTGAGGCCTGGGCCCTGGGGTTGGTGTGGGTGTGTGCATGTGTAGGGTGGGTGGCACAGCTCCTAGGAGCAGGGGCCACAGCTGCTGCTGGCACTTTGCTTCAGTGGGGCATGGCAACAGGTCTTCAAGCTGAAAAGAAGGGCAAAGATGTGAATTCTGCACAAAAATCTAATTAGGGATTCAGATCAGAGACCAAGAGGGTCTGGTGGGCTCTGACCAAAGCAGGGCATATGGGGAAACCCAAGACACCAGCAGGTTCCTATTTCCAAACCACAAACCCTCAGACTACAAACACCACTGTTTGGAGCAGAAACTACCCAGCACTCACACCAGTCATGGCCAAAAGTACTTAGGAAAGATAGTTTTTCCTTGACTGGTCCCCCTTCTTGGTCCCACTGCCCTGACTAAACGGTACTTCTGCCTGTAGGCCCCTTCCCCAGTTCTCCACTGTTCCAGATTGATCTGAATTGCCCTCCACCCTCCTTTGCCATCCAGTTCAGAAGCCCTCTAAGAGGAAGTCACCCAGCTTAGCCCACCAGTTGAACCCACTCTGTCAACAGGCAGCAAGATGTCTGGTGCCAATCGTGGAGGGTCCCGAAGAGTTGTGGAGGTGTTTAGGGAACAGCCATCTCAGGCCCCAATGCTACTGCCAGTCCTCCAGGCCCAGGGTTGGGGCCAGGCCAACCAAGAGTTAGAACAAATTGCTGGCTAACTCCCTAGAAGTCCAACGTGCCAAAAGCGGTTCTTTCCCTGTTTTTATCTTTCAATCAAATATGAGTATCACTTAAGATGTTCTCAAGGCCTCCCTGCTCCCCTCCTCACAGCCTGGCCCTCCCAGTTGGGTTCCCACCTTCTTCCCAAGTCCTGATGTCCCCACCCTAAACCAAGCCCTCATCTCTTCCTGTTCTGATTTCTGCCACCCTCACTCTGGGCCTAGGCGTTCCACCTGGCCAGAGGGCCTGGCTCTAAGGAAAGACCCTCTGCAGACCCCTACCTCTTCTCCCATCTCCATGGTCCCCTTCACTTAATTGAGCGAGAGAGTAGGACTTGTAAGACAGTCTAAACAGCTCTGGGGGCATTGGCCCACTTGTGACAATCGCCCCTGAAATTTATGAAATGTTCGGGCAATCAAAATATACAGATTGGGTATTCTCCAAATACAATTGGGCTTCTAATGACACCAGGAAACTTGGTTTAGAGCTAGATACATAGAGGACTTTGGTCCAACTTAAAATACCTCAAAGACAGCTTTGAACTGATCCTGAAATAGTTTTAATTACTGCTAATGATAATTGGTATTGTGAACAATGCAAAGCCTCAGAGCAAGGAACTGCTTCTTGTGAGTCCACTGCCAACTTAGATCTGCTCCCAACTTACAGAAGACAGGGGGACAAACAGGGGGCACCTTCCCTCTGGCATGTTGAAATGGTATCTTTTCTTCACCATCTGGAAGAAGTAGGGGGAGGCAGGAAAGGGAAGGAGGGAAAAACGGCAGAGCCCTAACATGTATAGAAATCCCCAGGTTATTGGTAGCGGCAGTAACATACATTTATTGGCCACCTATTGTATTCTAGACACCATGCTGGTGGGTGTAAATTAATAAAAGGCAAGAGTCTGCAGCATAGATGGGACTGGGCAATGCCAAATAAATGGGCTGATTCAGTTCCATACATATTTCTTGAGGCCAGCCGTGCCTTATGTTGAGATGAATCAGCGGAGCCCTACCCTCAGAGAGTGCTCAAGTGAGTTGGGGAGAGAGGCTCAGACACAGATGTCCCAAATCCAGAGATGAGTGTGGGAGGCAGGCAAGATGGTGGTTCAAGGAGCACTGGACAACTCATCCCACAGAAATCAACCAATATTACCCAAGAAAAACAAAAATGAGAGGAATGTTAAGAGGAAACCTGAATTAGCACTGAAACCAAGGAATGAGGGCACCCACAAACCACAAACTTGGATCAGTTGTTGCTCTCTGCAGTCTCTGTGGAGGGCTTCGGGGGTGAGGGTCCTGGGACTGAGCCAGTTCATATGGACACACCAATCAGGAAGGTTTTGAGGAATGGGGTTATTTTCTGGGTAAAAGAAGTCCAATTAGAAATATGTACATAAGGGGCACCTGGGTGGCTCAGTCAGTTAGGCATCTGACTTCAGCTGAGGTCATGATTTCGTGGCTTGTGAGTTCGAGCCCCACATTGGGCTCTGTGCTGACAGCTCGGAGCAGGGAGTCTGTTTCAGATTCTGTGTCTCCCTCTCCCTCTGCCCCTCACCAATTCACACACACTCTCTCTCTCAAAAATAAATAAGTGTAAAAAAAAAACAGTTATCTTTTAAAAATATATGTACATAAAATCACAGAAAAAAAAGACCAGAAGGAAATACACCAGAAGAGTGATAGTACTTACTTTGGGGTGGTAGGGTCATGAATGATCTTAATTTTCCTCTATATACATTCTGAGAATATATTCTCTAATAAGAAAAACATTATTTAAAAATAAAGAAACTTGTCTTTGCAATTTCTGTAAGCTTAAAATTATTTCCAAATAAAGTTTTCAACCAGGGATATATGGGAAATCTCTCTGTAACTTCTGCTCAATTTTGCTGTGAACCTAAAACTTCTCTAAAAAATCTATTAAACAATTTTTTTAAAGTTTTTAAAAAAGTACTTACGGGGGGGGTCATACAATAATACTGACAACCATTATAACACTGAAGTCTAATGATAAGAGGGTTCGTTTGAGTTTCCCACAACTTTTGGGCGTGTTTGGAAATTTTCCACAGTAAAAGGTAAATTAAGTAAACTAAAGCTCTGTGCTAAGACCCTCTCCAGCCTGGTCTGCCCAGTTCTCGGCCCAGAGCCTGCATTCTAGATGTCACCGGTCCAGGGCACCGGAACCACTGGTCCCCCGGGACTGGCAGTCTCAGCTGTGAGTGTCTCAGGATCCCTGCTCAGCTGCAGAGATTCTCAGCTGACTCTTGCCAGCAGGAGTGGCCTGCACACTGGGCCCCAGGCTGTGGGCTCAGCACACAGCCCTGCTCCTCCTCAGTCCCTTCCCTTTCCCCATGGCAACAACACCAGCCTTGCCCCTAGCACACCAGAGGCATGCCCCTTCCTGCCTGTCTGCCCACCTGCCCACCCAGCCTATTGCAGGTCTCTCTGTCTTGTCATGGGTTCCCCTCTCTCATCCAAGTCAACGTGCACCCGTGTCTCACATCCTAAAAAAATAAACCCCTCACGTGGTCTTGGTCTATGACCAAGCACTCTCCTTGGTCAATGACTCCTTCTTTCCTTCTTTCCTATTTCTGGAAAGGCTGGCCTACACTCAGGGCATTGGCATGTTGATGGTGGGGCACACAGGGCTGAAGCCCAGCCCGCATCCTCTGGCCAGGCCTGCATGCTGGGATGAGGGGGTTAATCTGCCTGGAGGCAGGGGACCCCTTTCTGATTTGCACAAAGGTGCAGCCCTGCTTCCTCCCTGCCTCACTGTGTTACCCCACTCTCTCCCAAAGCCTCTGGCTCCTGCCCCACCACCCACCTCTGCACCCTTGATGGTGCATCACTGGCCTCCCAAATGGCCACATCCCATGGCTCCTTCAGGGAATTTGGTTTTCTGAAGCATTTGCATGACTGGTTTTCCCCCTAAGTCTTTTCTGCCCCATTGGCTCCTGGGACCCAAATTTCTGGATCTTGTGCCTCAAAGACCACTCCCCCAGTCTCTCATGAGCTCCTTTCTCCCTGAGGCCCCCTTGATAGTGCTTTCTCCTCACTCTGCACTCTCCCCAGGCTGTATCCCTGGCCTAATCTCTCTGCTCTATTCCAGCTGTCCATTGTCATGCCCACCTATAGGTGCCATTTTCTTTTCTTTTCTTTTCTTTTTTTTTAGTAATCTCTACACCCAACATGGGGCTTGAACTCATGACCCTGAGATCAAGAGTCGCACACTCTACTGACTGAGCCAGTCAGGTGCCCCTTTCAACAGTGAACATGTTATCTTGTCCCTCGGACCCTCTCGGCCCCCCGTGTTCTTTTTCTGGGCAAAAGGTACCATCACCCAGCAAGTTTCCTGAGTCAGCCACAGTGGGGGTCACCCTTGCCTGCTCCCTTCTCTCAGTGCCCAATCCAATCATGGACGGGTGGCCAAGTTCTGCTGGCTCCTCCTGAGTCTCCCCCCTGCACCCCCACTGCCTTCCTTCAGGGCCAACTATTGCAGTAATGGTCCTACAGGTCTCCTCTCCATTAATCTACTCTCCTCAGGCTGCCAGAGTCCTGAGATGTAGGAACACTCATGTCATCCTTCTGCTCAAAATTCCCCCATGGCTCCTCATCCCAAAATAAAATCTCAACTTACAACACAGCACATGAAGTCCTCCTCCCTAATTCATGCTCCACCTATACCAAGTGGCTCATGGTTCCCCAAACATGATGGGCTTTCTTGTGCCTCTTTATAAGATCCTCACTTGACCAGGCTTTTTCCACATGCCTGTTGTTCTGGCAAACCCCAACTCTCCTCATCTAAGGCACTGCCACCTCTGGGAAGTCTCCCTGATTTCCCTGGCAGACTTATGGGCTCTGTCCCCTAAGCTCCTATCACAGGTACTACAACTCTTATGCTATCTGCAAGTCCCCAGTGGCATGACCCAGGCCCTCTTGGAGTTGGACACACAATCTAGGCATGAAAGTCATGGTCTTTCTCACTTTGCTAATATTGTTCCCTCTGCTCATCCATAACCTGGACGTCCTCCAAACCCAGCTCACCTTTGCTCGTTTCCCAGGAAGCACTACCTGCTCTTCCTCAGCAATCACTCTCCCCGTTACACTTGGAACACCAGGCCTGGCAATGTCATCTTTATCTGCAGACCAGTGGCACTCAAACATTTTTATTTACCGTGATCATAGAAAGACATTTTCCATCATACGCTAGTACAAACATGCATTATAATATATGAAATATACAACTAAATGAAACAAAAATGTATTTACTACATGTAATATAATCTGATATCTTTTATTTCACTTGACTTCTTTTTCTTTTTTTTTAATGCTGGTAATGACACATGTAATTAAGTTCCACAAACCAGTCCCCACCTACCATCTGAAACCTCTGCTACAGCCAGCAGGGATCACTCAGGGTTTCTAGCAGAGGAGCAATGTGATTAGAAGGATGGGTTAGAACAGTGCTTCTCAAGTGTTCTAAGGGGAAGGACTGATTTTCTAAGTTCCCAGTCTGCATGTACTTTATGTTTTAAAAGTACAATAAGAATGAGTTATTAGAAAACAAAGTAACGAAGAAACTTACAAAATGCAAGCCAATTCATTATCATTAGCTTTCAGTAGACACTGTGGAGTGGTGGCAAGAATGTGCTGGCTGGCGAACACCAGACGGGCCACAGGCTGAGGAGGCTTTGCCAGTACTTTTGATGCCCTGAAACCCTTGCCAAGTGGCTGGCCACACCTACCCTGCCGATCTCTGTCCTGAAGAGATTCCTATTTGCATAGTCTAAGGGGCTTTGCCAAGGAGAGATGTGCCACTGTGCAAGCTCCTGCCTTGTCAACAGAGCCTAGCTGCCTCAGTTTGCATCCTGACTCAGCCGCTAACTGGCTCTGGGCCTTGGATAAAGGACTTAACCTCTCCCAGCGTTGATTTCCTCCAGGATTGTCCTGGGAGATAAAATAGCAATCCTCACTGCAGGGCTTGGCCTATGGCCAAAATCTAGGTCACTCCCCCACCTTGTAACCCACATGGTTACAGTTCTGCCACTATGGTCATCCCCTGGCTTCCTGAGTCAGCCTCATCCTCCCAGGTCCCTTCTCTGTGTCCTTCACTGATCACTTGGGCCAAACCTTCACCCCGCCTCCGTTCCTCACTTGTCTGCCTCTCACTCTCAGGACACAGCTTGCATCCTACTTGGCAGAGGAAATAGTGAAGCCCAGCTGCCTCCCACCCCAGATTCTCCTCACCCCTGCATCCTTTCTCAGAACTCTCTACCCCTCCAGCCTAATCCCTGTACCTAAGCCTCACTTACCCATCCCTCCTCTCTCCATTGATGGAAGCGTCTTTCCATCGATGAGTCCCTCCCTCTTCTGGGAATCTTTCCAAAGCGTCCAATCTGGTCTCTGGTCTCTCCTCAGCCTAAGGCAATTTGCCCAGTGGTGTGCTGGTAAATATATAACAACAGGCCCTCTGGAGGAAAAAATGTAGGCACATATGAGTTTATTGTAAATTTTACTGACATAAAATATGTTTAGCAATTTACAAGTAGTAGTAAAATATACAGTAGTCTATACTGTAAATCGCATATAGTAAATTGAATCTTACAGAATACTTTCATTGATTTTTACCAACCTGCTAAGTCCATAACTAACCTATAATTGTAATTGACAAATGAATATAGTTCTAACATGAATATTGGTTGATATTTTTGCTTGTGCCAACTTACTGGTTGAAACAATGAAAGTGAAACAATGAAGATACATGTTGCAACTTCACTCCTTTGTCAATGGTATAAGCAACTTCTTTACTGAATCAGGTAATATTTTTTGAATACTGGAAGAACATCTGCTCAATTTCTCTGTTCCATTCACAATGTAATAGCTACAGGCACAATATGTATATAAGTTCAATGTGCATATTAACATTTTCTCCATAATTTTAAGTCTAGACAGTCAACAAAACAATAAATCAAGCCCTGATGTTTGGTGTTTATCAATTTCCATGGTGCGATATTCCTACCATGGCTGATTTCAAACTACCAACGTGATGCCTCTGAATGCAGAGTTAGGAAGAAAAACACAGTAACACAACATCATATAGTATATTCATAGATATAACAGATGTAAATCATCTTAAAAGCATAAACAAAATACTCTGAAATCCTTAAAAGTGATGAGTTTCTGTTTTTAATATAATTTACTTAATTGTAATTTTATATAATTTAATTTTTTAAAAATAGCCAAATTTAACAATTGTCTCACAAAATTCCTGAATATTTAACTTCAGCTCTTAGGATCATCTAAGCACACTTGGATCTGACCCCATCCCTCCAGCTCTGCCTTGAACTCACAAAGCTCTCCAAACCTGATGGTCCCTTCCAATGTACATTTTTCATGTCTTTTTTTTTTCAATATATGAAATTTATTGTCAAATTGGTTTCCATACAACACCCAGTGCTCATCCCACAAGGTGCCCTCCTCAATACCCATCACCGACCCTCCCCTCCCTCCCACCCGCCATCAACCCTCAGTTTGTTCTCAGTTTTTAAGAGTCACATTTTTCATGTCTTATAAGCAAAACTGAACTCATTCTCCTGCTCTCAAATCTGCTCCTCTCCAGGCTGCCATTTTGGTGAGGGGCTTCACCACCCACACAGGAACTCAAGCCAGAAACCATGGAATCACCATCCCACAGCCCTCAAACCTCCTCTGACTGCAGGTCATGGCCATCTAAGCCCCACTGGAGTCTGCCCCTGATCTTTGTCCCTTGGCCTGCTGCTCTGCTCACACCCCCATCACCTTCTTCCCAGTCCCCTACAGCGTGGCACTGCCTGCTCCTGTCCATCTTCCTCATGGCATCAAAAGCACTCACTATGTCCTGCTCTGTTCTGTACTCAGCAAAGTCAGGCTTCCCAGAGCCCAACAGTCATTGCCCCTTGTCCCATCTCTCCAGATCCACCTCTGGCATATCCTGCATACTCAACTTCTGCCCTAGCTGCAGAACTAGCTGCAGTTCCCTTAATGCATACCACTCTCCCAAACCTCCACATACCATTCCCTGTCCCTGAAATTAAAATTCTTGCTTCACAAATTCTTAAGTCATTCTTTTGGACTCACCTCAAATATTATCTCCCTAGTGAGCACCCCCTACTCCAAGCAGAATTCACTCATTTGTTCACTAATGCATTCCTTCATTACTAATTTTTATTTATCACTAACTATGCGCCAGATTCTACACTAGGTACTAAGTATGCAGAAGTGAGCCAGGCTCTTGGAAAACTCTAATAGGAGAAATACAACTAAGGCAATCAGCCCCCTGATAGAGCTCTGTGGAGGGTTCTGGGGAAGAGCAGAAGGGGGACACCTTTACAAAGCCTCCTGGGAGCTGTAGCCCTTGATCTGAGCTTTGTAGGCAGGAGTTAGCTAGGGGAGGAATGTGAGAGAGTGCTCCAGGAAGATGGTGCAAAGGCCCTGAGGCATGAGAACACAGGCCACTATATGTGATTCAGTTTGGCTAGCCTTCAAGGGTCAAGAGAAGACCATGAAGGAAGGCAAGACCAGATCTAGAAGAGTTTTAACTGGCACATGGAGAAAGCTTGATAAATAGTGATTCTGACAGTGATAAAGGCAATGGGGAGCAATGGAAGTCTTCCCAGTCTAGAATTACAGGCCTTTCAGAAGGATCGATTTGAGAAATATAAGGGAGAGATACAGGGTAAGAATCAAGACGCTGGGTGATAGAATTGGCCACTGGGTTCTCAGAGCAGCTGTGGTGGCAGTTTTCCTTGGAAGCCAAGATGACTGGACTGAGATGTGAGGAAGGAAAGGGGTGTTCTAGGTGAACAGGGGGGATGGTGAAGTGGGATCATGAGTGAGGCACACAAAGAGATCCCACTCACCCATCAAGAGCCCAACCTGCAAACTTGCCTTTCCTTTCTTGTCACACTACCTTCCCTCAGTTTTTTTTTAATGTTTATTTATTTTGTGTGTGTGTGTGTGTGTGTGTGTGTGTGTGTGTGTGAGAGAGAGAGAGAGAGAGAGAGAGAGACAGAGAGAGAGACAGAGACAGAGAGAGAGAGAAAGTGCACATGCATGAGCGGGGAAGGGGCAGATAGAGAGAAAGAGATTCCAAGCAGGCTCCATGTTGTCAGAGCACAGCCCTGAAGTGTAGCTCAATCTCACAAACTGTGAGATCTTGACCTGAGCCTAGATCAAGAGTCTGACACTTAACTGACTGAACCACCCAGTAGCCCCTTCCTTTAGGTTTTTAAAGGGGCCTTGCTCCCTTTAACAGAGGGCCTTTGACCATGCTGTTCCTCTCCCTGAAGAGCTTCCCAGCCTCCTCCCCCATTCTTTAGGAAATTGGTAAGTTTGGAAAGCACCCAGAGTTACTTGAGGAAAAGGATCTGTTTGCAGCAGATACATTTGAATTTGCCAAGAGACTTTACTACCAGTTTCACTCACTTAGAGACAGAAGCCAAGTCATGGTTTTCTCCCTGTGGCCCATGTCTTCATAAATAAAATTTGGGCCTTGTCCTTCACTGTGCATCACACAAAGCAAATGCCCAAAAATTATTTGCTGAATGAACAGTCAGATGAATGTAAGAGCCCGGCCAAGGCTGCATATATAATGTACCCCTAACCTTTTCCCCATGGTCAGCGAACTTGTTTTCAATTAGAATTTCCAGATGTCCTTAGGACCACAGGCATATATGTTGGAGTCTGCACATCTCAGGACACAAAGGGTTATACCTGTTTTTGCTCAGAAACTAGAGGAAGTTGCTAAATGGACCAAAAGAAGAACAGCATGCTTGCTGCTCTCCATCTCTCCTCTGGTCCCAGCTGTTGCCTCATGGAGGGTCAAAACAGGCCAGATAAAAACTGTCCAACTCATAGCTCCAAAATAGCAGGAGTTAGAAATGTGACCCAACCGAGGTTCTGTGCCACCCAGCCCTGTTTCTCCCCACTCTGCAGCCCAGGGAGGTTCTGACCCAGGACTGGCCACCTCAGGCCTGCCCCATTCCTGCACCAAGTTCCCCAGATTTCTGTTTTGAGACTCTATTCTGATCTCTCATGAGATCCAAATCTGTGTTCACTTTTGGGTAGTGGGCCTGGTTTTCATCTTCTCTGACAAAAAGTCAGGTGTAAGTCAGGGAGGGATGGAA